CTGAACATCACTATCCGTACATTGTTAGAATGAACTCTGAGTCCTATATCCAACCAACATTTTTACCAATTTTTACTTCAGTTATCCATTAAGCTGGAGATTTTTAGTCTGATCTAACAGTCAGATTTGACACTATTGGTTTCTAATAAATTATAGCATTTTTCATCTATGGAATAACTCTTATCAAACCAACAAAATCTACAGGCTTTTCGGTCTGCCATGACAAACTAGGAAAAAATCAACCATCACTCAAGTCTGACCAAAAAAGCTCAGAGCAAGGTCCTTCTGACATGAATATGCTAGCAGACTTGGCTGACTACAGCCCTACCGCCTGCAGACGAGCATCCTTCTGAGAGAGAATTTTGTTTGGCAAGACGGACCAGACTCACTGATGATGACAATAAATTACCTGCAAACAGAAACATCTCTTGTCAACAGGAGAGGAAGCTTGCATTATTCATTGGATTAGACTTTGTTATCTTTTGGGACATTTTGATCTTCACTGATTTAAAACTAGACAGAACCAACTACTAGAACATAGAACGGTATCAGTTTAAAGAGAGGGGGAACTGGTGATATTCTAGCAAGTGAAAAGCACACTCAGCCTGCATCGTCTTGAAAGAGTAAGGTGAGAAGGCCAAAATTTACAACTGTCCCTAGAGCAAGTAGAGGCAGCATATGTCCTTCAGGAGCAAGAGCCTTGTTAATTAATTTTTGGCTTTCAGAGCTACAGTGCCAGGAGTGTCTCACATCTTTGAACATCTGCAGGTGCTTGAGCTGCTCCGCATGTGCAGATGTGAACTGGCCAGGGCAAGGCAAGGCTTAAGCAAATCAGGCCACTGTCCTGATTTTCTCATGCTTGCTCAGACTTTGAAGCACGGCCTTAGGAAGCGGGGACAGCCATCTGTCTAAATCCCCATATTCTCTTCTGCTAGTGAACTTGAAGGAGCATATGTCAACCCCTCTCCACCTGCTTGTTGCAGGAAAACATTTGGGTTAAACTGAAGGCTTGACGTATCTAACGAATTATCCCTCACCGTGTCTTGGTGTAGTTGTCAGTACCCACATCTTTTCCCTAGTTCTTTCTCTCCAGATTGTGTGTGAATTTTCTCTCCTTTTCCTCCATCTGTACTTCTTCTATATTTGCTCCTTTTTGCCTAGTAGCTCTCATCTGCCCCCGCTTTATTGCTCCAGCTGAGCAGAGGGCAACCTGCTTGTCGTGGTGCTGACTGCGCTCCTTGTTGGTGCTACCCACAGCTGTGCTGGGAGCCACGAGAGTAAAAGCAAAGGGTTTGATGTGATATATTAGAGTTAAGATCTCCCCTCTGTACTGTGAACAGTTCTGAGAGCCTATTGCAGTCTCAGCCACTGACAAGCAGAGAGAGAAGGGATGTGGCATCAGGGTTTTGGGGGCAATAGCAATATGCAGACAGGGGCTGCCATGCAGTTTCTCCCCAGCCCATCCCACTGCCATGTCACTCGGTTCCTAGCTGCTCGGCAGACACATGCATGCAGCCTGCCATGTCGCTGATCTGAAGCTAAAGCCTTCTCTGTTTCCAACCTGTTATTTCGCTCTTCTGGCAATCACAACATCCACGTGCAGGACTGTCACCCTCAGTCCTGGCAATGCTGCAAGATTGGAGCGAGGCAAAAAGAGCTGGTTTGTAAGTTATTGGAGGTGGTGAAAAAGAGCGTGCTGCTGCCGCTGTGAAGTCAGGAATGGGGCCAGGCTACAAAAGGCTGAGCCAGCCCATATGGTTTAACACCCCTCACCCCCGCCACAACATTTACCAGATGTTCCAAGTGCACATTTTTGATTCATCCCATCGTAAAGGTTGAAAACATTTAAAAATTAAGATCCAAGCACAGGCTAACACCCTCTTCAAAAATGAGAGTGTTTGGAGATGAGGTTTTACTTTAAGAGAGATCATCAAAACAACAGGGGGGTGGAACCCACAAAATGGTTCAAGTCAGAAATCCAACCTTAGCCGGTATAAAATTTAAGTAAACGTCTTTGACGTAAGAGAAACTGGATGGAGAGAAAATGCCTGAGCAGAACCTCACCTCCTTTCCTCAACTCATCCTCCACCTGTGAGCAGGAGCCAGGCTGTGACTCCTGCCTACCCACCACGCAGGAACTGCGTTTCAAAGAATTGTTTAATTATGGCTCTAATGTATTAACATAGTCTGTCTCCAAACCTTCCTTTGCATCGGCCTATTTGAAACTGGAGTGGAGCCCAGCCGCGCTCCGAGGATTGCACTGTCATCCCAAGTGCCGGCTTTGCAGCCCATCTTGCCACCCACTCAGCAAAGCAGCTGCAGGTTTGCTGTACTGGACGCTTTCTGCATGCCCTGCATTTCGGGAAAACCTCCTCCACAGAGAACATGAATCTCCCATTAGCCTTAATAGCACCTGAATTTGAACAACGGGAGAAAACGTCATACAATATTAATGGTGCAATTCTGTTAATAGCACACACTGTACCCATGTGAGTAGCTGTGCAGTTTACACCCTCTTCGGTCCAGCTGATCTACTTTCAAAAGGATTTGCACAGGAAGAATGTTCTTTATCTTCTTGCCAACCACAGGCATTTACCTTCTGAGCAGTATTTGGAGCACACAATGTATTTGGTGTATCAAAAAAAAATATTCCTCCCTCTATCCTTCCTCCTTTGGAAATAAGCATCCTTTCCCAGCTCTGAAGAGTCCAACTGTGCATTTCACAGGATCTACTAAGCAGCTCTGCAAAGACCACCTCCGCATCTACCTAACCAGTTGTATTAGACACCTCCCATGTTTAGGCCCATTAACCTGATCACAACGGCTTGATGAATTAATGCTTATATAGACACAGTTGGCAGCTTCTAATTAAATAATTATGGCTAAGCAGCTGCAGAGAAGTTGTAATGCTCCACTGGAAAGCCAGATGTCAATTTTATTGGTCCTCAAAGTTTCAAATGAAATGATTTAGTGAAATTTGGGAAGGCAGTTCTTTTGCTCCAGATGAATTCTGTAGATACCGTGCCTGCTCTCAGGTTGACTGGCTGCAGCCAGACCCCAAGCACGCAGCCAGAGAACCTCTGCAGCCCACCAGCAGCTCTTATCGCAGCAAGCAGCAAATGGCACAGAGCCTAACAGAACGATTCGGATTGAGATAGAGGAGAGTGGTTTGGCATCACGGTCACTGCTTTAGCTTTTACCTAGGGAAGGACCCTTTGAAAAATCCATCTCTGAAACCGTATCAGTGTCAAAAATCCACAAAACTGATATGAGCCAAACGCAAAGCCTGTTGAACTGGGTAAGAGTCTTTCCAGGAACTTTCATTGGACTGGGCTTTCCCTGCACTGATGAGAGAAGATTTTGTGGCACCTACTCGAGTTTCACTCTCCAAAATTTCTAAGGTCCCTCTCATCTCAGTACCTAACCCTAGCTGTAGTGATGCGGAAGCAATGAGCAATCCTTGACAGTAAAAATTTGAGTAATATGAAAATCAGGAGTCTGTGTTTGCTAAGTCATGCAAAAGCTACGTTCATCCTCTCTTCAATTAGGAAACCATTGTGCCTATAAGGAACTTAGATTTTTTTCTGATTTTAAATATAAATGCAAACACAATTTATTCTAATCCATTCCTATAACTACACTAATTCTCCTTGTATAACTTGTACAAGACACTATGATTTCAAACAGAAGAAGCCTAATAATAGAAATCATCCATCCCTGTCAGAATATAAGCGGATCCATGACCTTAGAACCATTTTGCTAAGAAATCCAGCTAGAGAACTAATTTTAAGTAAATCTATGCATGTCAAAAATACAGATGGCTTTTCAGGATGCTGACTTAGGCATCATTACATAAGCAGATTAGGGCTGCCTGTTGAGCCCAGACACAAGAGTAGATGGCGCTGAATCTAGTATTACACACAAACTATTCACTTCCCGATACATCTTTCATCTAAAACTTTTGTCAGCTCTCCACGCTACTGAGCCTGCTAACTGTAAGCACCGCACACAGCGCAGCAGGTCTGCCAGCAAAGCATCATCCTGCTCTAAACCCTACTGCCCAAAGCAGCAGCTGGCTAAAGCCCATTTCTACAAATGGACTGGGGAAATGTTCCATCCTTCACCCTTTTGAAATGAAAATGGAGGAAAACAGCCTCACGAACCTCTCAAATATTTAAGCACAGCAGTTGTGGAATGATTTTCTGATACAGAATTATAGAATCAAAATTACCCTTGTGTTACCATTGGTAACGGTGCCTCTACCTGAATATCAGCTTAGAAAGTTAATGAGCTTGCTAGAGCTATCAGCTAAAATTACCACAACAGTATGTGATCTGATGTGATTGCGGTAAGCAGGGCAGATTCTTCTCATTATGAGGGTAGTTTGTTTTCAATAGGCATGTTGCATAACAAGGCACAGCAACTTGCCTCTCTCTGCTCTGAGCCCTCATTTCAGAGCACATCAGCTGGCTCCGAGCAGACCCCCTGTTGAAAAGCAGCCAGAGGGACAGGATTTTGTTTTCCCTTCCCTGCGTGTAAGTGTGTCAGGTTTGTTGACAGATGGCTTGGCTGACTGTGCTTGACTATTATCAAGCAGCTATTACCTTTGCAAATTGAATCCCATTTGAAGATTTTCTGTAATTAAATCTGCAGTGTGTTTGCAAGGCTTATATTGCATCCCGCACGTACTCGGGAAGCGTGCAAGGCAGTCAGATGGCTGATGTACACAGCCAGAGACATCAGCATCCTCCAGCCATGGGGATGGGCAGCTTTTGGCAGTCTGTGCTGCCACCTAGCCAAGACCAAGCCATTGAGTTCAGCCTTGCTTTACGTTTCGAAAGCTTAAACTGAACCGTATCCCCCCGGATCTAAAGAAAGCCTTAGTCGGCGGCAGACACGAGGAAATTTGTGCTCTTTGTGCTTTGAGAATTGTACAGTCAACGGAAGAGAGCAGCTTAAAACAGGTAGTTGCAGTTCGCTCAGAAGTGTCTTGTACTTACGGTAGAAGACATATTCAGTGTAGCTGGACCAGACCTTGTCGTCTGTGTACTGGTTGACAAAGGAAGCCGTCACCGAGGAGTTACAGGCCACCATGTGGAATCCACACTCGGACAACATGTCGAAAGCCCTCTCTAGGTGCTTGAACTTGAGATAAAACCTGGAGGTGTACCTTTCTGGAGCCCTGTCTGGGTCTCTGCTTTCATTCAGACTTTCTCCAAAGACCTCTTTGACCAGAGCAATCCTTCCACAAACCAAAATCCTTGGGACTCTCCTGAATTTGGCATCTGCTTGGCTCTCCCTGCCAATAGTGCACGACCCCCGGTACCCGATGGTAATGAATCCCCACTTCCGATCAGGCGGTAAGAGCGATGAGGGTGGGCATATTCTCGTGTCACTGCCTTGGGAGACCTCTTCATAGTCACTGTGGCAATAATCATCGGGGCTTTGCTTGTTGTCATCAGGAGTCAGGAGTTTGACCAAGTCCGGGAGCTGGAAGTACTCAGCCTCCCTCTTGAGCCTTCCCTTCTCTGGGAAGTGGTCAGGCAGAACCACTTGCTTGTCCCTGAGATAGTCCAGAATATAGCGGAAGAGGAAACCATCTCTGTCGATGAAGAATCTTCCCTTGGAGTCCTTGGCCAGATCGTTGGCTGTCTCTCTCTTTGGGGTGAACATTTTCCACAGCAGGGAGTGAGGGGTACCAACCAAGGTGGAGTGGCGAGTGAAGTAAACCTGGCCGCCCACGTTTAGCTCCACTACCTCCGGGAAGGAGTGCAGCCCAGTCCCCTGCTCTCGAGAAGGAAGGTAAGTCCTGCAGTTGCCACTTAGAGCCATTGTACTTTAAAACAGCAGCACGAAGCAGCAGGACTATCAATCACAGCAAAGTGTAGAATAAGGCTCCCAACATTAAGGAGAAACAGGGGGGAAAGGGGAAGTGAGAAAAGAAAAATAGCCAAAAGGTTTGCTTAAAAGAAATCTGAACTGTCCATGAGTGACAGTGTGGCAGAAGTGGCTTATACCCTAAGTCAGAGGGGCTGGAGAGCAATCGCTTCATGAAATGCAATCACATCATTAGATCTTCCAACAAAGCCATCAAAATCAAGGTCAAGCCAAGCCTATGGTCATTCACAGGTCTGTCGAAAGGGAAAACAAAATAAGACACAAATTATTCTTTTAAGCAGAGAAAAGCAGATCAGTTTAGAAAGCCGAGCTAGATCTCCTGCTAAATAGGTCTATTTTTTTGCAAGTTCTATGCTTCTTTTTCACAAGTACCAATCAATGGAAGGACTACATACGACTCCACCGTTTAAAAGAAAATACACACTTCATCTTTAAAGAAACATCTAATTTAGACATGCACACGAGGGAACAAGAACAGCGAGTCTTACCTTGGTTACAATTAATGCATAGCTCTTGTAAAGGAAAGCAAAATTTCAAGACACTCGGAACATGCACACAGGCACACAGAGTCCAGTTAGTATGAAATCCGACCCCCGCAACGGACAGCAAAGGCAAGAGAAGTGCTCGGAGCAACATCCGTGTAGATCTCAAGAGTTAAACCGAGTCACAGGAAAGTTAACCGTGGCAGGTGACGAGAGAAACCAATACACACAGCGCGATGGGGGAGAAGGAGAAGAAAAAAAGAAAAAAAAAAAAAGCCGCAACAACCCCCCCGAATGAATCCGGCCGGGCTCAGTGAGGGCGGGCAGGGCAGCGCGGGGGGCGCGCCGTTTCGGCTGGCTCAGATGACTTGCAGAAACCCCGCAGCCTGCGCTAAGGGCTGGCGGGCTCCGGCGGCTCCCGCGGCGGCAGCCAGCCGGGCAGCGCGGCCGGCGGCG